AAAATAGCCCCATCAATCTATTGCCATCAGATCAGACAGAAAAGAATTGAATACATGAAGTGGCTATCATAAAATATAGCCAAGAAAAAGCTAAGTCTGATCACAGAAGGTCAGTTAAGCATTTGGAAAATAAAGACAGCGTGCTTTATTTAATGATCCATCAAAAGTTAATAACAAGTAGATTGACTTTCTCCTTTAGACAGAAATATTGATGAAGATACAGTGTTCCAAAGGTCTTCTCTATTCTTTAAGTTGGCTGCCTATTGAGAAAAGCTATGTAATATGTGGTAATTTTTTAAAGGCACGGAATGGAAGAAGCTCACCAACCAGTGATAAATCCCCATGTTACTACCTCATAAATGAACTGCATTCACACATTTAAAATTAGAGTGTCCTTCTTACTAATTCAGAAGTACCAGCAGGAAAGAGTTGAATCATTACATTCAAGTGAATTATCCGGATAATTAAAATCAATCCCTGGAGAAGCTAATATTTTAGAAACTTGTGTCGTAACAATGTGGGTACTAGGCAAGGTAATAACATATTTTTACATAAAATAAGGAGGTAATTTTCCACCAATGCTTAAAAAATTGGCTCTGAAAGCAATTCTGAACTTCCAAGGGCTAACTTCTATGATTCTATACTATAAACAACATTTATATAGCCATTCCCCCAAAAATCAGTTTCTAAAGCAATTGTTGCAAGTTTGAAATGTGTTCGTTTTCCAAGGATATTACTCAAGTATTTAAAAATTCATTTTCTTTCCTTATAGTCATTTTTTGAGGACTTAAGGAAACAAATCATTTTCACGTACTGATTGCTGTTATCATTAATCAGCATATAACATATCTACTTATTTTTCATGTTTTTTTTTCTCCAGGCATTGCTATCTTATGATATTTAAGCTCTATTTTCACAACACATGTTAAGATTCCAAAAACATCTGGGCTTATGCATCAAAAGACACCCGTCTATGCTGACAAATCCCTCACCTATTACCTCCAGCCATGGACAAGTAAATCTTATCTTCGTCACTTACCTGCCCAGGAGCAGAAATTCTCCTACTAGACCCAGGCGCCTCATAGCCATGAGCAGACCTCTCACTGTCATCCCCTCACAGAAGCAGGCCACCACCCGGGCCTTGGGCAAGTGGCTTCTGAGCTTCTTCAGCAGCTTGTCGAAGCTCTGCTCCCCTGCATTGCTGTAGATTTTGTAAGAGTGGGCGATGCAAATCCCTTCCTTGGCTGACATGTCTTTGAAAGCCTCCATCCCACTTTCTCCATAGTTGCCTGTGTGAAAACATAGATAAGTACAGGGCCAGTGAAACGAGAGGGTTGGATTCATTGGGTACAATTAGACTGCAAAAGTTCTGGGAGCAGGATGGCAGCTTGGTGGTGTTGGGTTTCGAACCAGAAGACCTGAATTTGAGTTTTTGCTGTTTCATGGAATTGTTCACTTTGGGCAATTTACAATGAAACTACAGTATACATATATACATTGAACCTTTCATTTTAACTGAGGGAGAGAGAGAACAATATTAAAAATGCAGGCAATCCAAGTCCCGGTTTGACTCAAAAAACACATACTCTAAGTGTAAGATGATGGAAGACATCGATCTGCTGTTCCTTCTACCACACCACCTTTTGCACCTCATTGCACAATCATCTCACCACACTGATTGAGATTTTCATGTTAATACATTTATGAATACATATGCTTTATTTAATAGTGATGTTGTACACATATTTTATATAGTATTATCTATTAGATATGTTATTGTGTATATGATATTATTCATTAATGCTCAGGAGAATTTATGGTTTGATCCCAACTGAAAAATACAGATCCTTGAGATTTTAGTTTTGTCACATATTAATATATACACTTATGAAAGTCATTTAACTAAAATATTACTCCATATGACCATAGGGAAGTTAGTGATATGGGGTGAATATTTCTTAAATCCTTTGCAAAATTTGGTGCATAAGGAATAGTTTTTCAAAATAATGGGAAAGGAGAATCAATACTGACAATCAACTATGTCAGGAAGTGTACCAGGACCTTTATGTATGTGATCTCATTTACTTCTAACAATAGTATGTTGTGGTAGGTATTATGACATCCATTATAAAGATAAGAAAGCAGATAAGACAGTTACATACCCAGTAAGGGAAGGCTGAACTCCATTCACAGATCTGTGTAGCATTGCACATTCTGCTCCCTCCACTGTTCTATGGCTGATTCTTAGGAGTTTTTGAAGTCCATTATACCTGTATTTCTGTTTCCCATTTAAAGGTCACAGTGCTTCAGTTTTAGATATTTTTGGAGACTCTTAAGGCTCCATAAATCATACAATGCTCACTTTCTAAATTTTCAAAAGATTAGGGCAGAGTTAAGGGTGATCAATTAGAAGAATACTGGAGACTCTTACAAGACAGCCAAACTGAGGGACATATAGGATATAACTGGCCTGAAAATTAACTAGATCTAAGAAATAGAATTTCATCAGGAGGAGTAGATCTAAAAAGTATCAGAGCGTACTAGCAATTAATCGTATAGGGTTCTCTATATGACTAGAATACAACAAAACAAAACAAAACCTGTTGCTGTTGAGTCTATTCTGACTCATGGCGACCACATGTGTTACAGAGTAGAACTGCCCCATAGGGTTCTCTTGGCTGTAGTCTTTATGGAAGTAGATATCCAAGCCTTTCTTTGGTGGTACTGATGGGTGGGTTTGAAATACTAAACTTTCAGTTGGCAGTTGAACTCAAACTGCTTGCATCATCCAGGGGGATAACTTAAGAAAATCTACCGTTCTGTAGGACTTTAATCTTTGGAAAGTCGTTTAATACTTATTAGCTCACTGTTTCTCCCATCAACTCTATGATGAATGTTAATAAAATATCCACCTCACAGCTGATAGAAACTGAGGTTCAAATATAACAAGTAAGTAGAAGTCTTAGTTTGAATATATACATATAGATATAGATGAGTTTGCGTGTGTGTGTGTTTATACATGTTGTTAGTTGCCATTGAGCTGATTCCAACTCATGGCAACCCCACGTGTGCAGAGTAGAACCGTGCTCCTTAGAGTTTTTAAGGCTGTGACCTTTTGAAAGCAGATAGACATGCAATTTCCATGGCGCCGCTGAGTGGGTTTTGAACTGCCAACCTTTCGGTTAGTAGTCCAGCGCTTAACCATTTGTATCACCTATAGACACACACACACACACACACACACACACACACACACACGCATATATATATCTTCTGTTTCCTCACTCTATGTGCGCACCACCATACCACAGATGCCTTGCTGCACCTGAGATACTCAGACTTAGAAGGTGGATTCTTGTGTGGTTATATCTTCATGGGCAAAGCAAAGCAAGCCAGCCTAATTCCTAGCCAAAACATTATCCTACAAAAATGTAGGGGCAGCTAAATTTTTTTTCCTTCGTCCTCAGAATTAAGATCAACAAGAAGGAACTGTGATGATGGCAGGTGGGCTATCTGGTTATTTTGCAATTAACAAATTTTAAAGAACTCTTTCTGGAAAATGTGCTTACCAAAAACCAAACCCATTGACATCAAGTCAATTATGACTCATTATGACCCTATGGGACAGACTAGAACTGCCCCATAGGGTTTCCAAGTCTGTAATCTTTATGAAAGCAAACTGCCACATCTTTCTTCAGCAGAGCAGCTAGTGGATTTGAACAGCTGACCTCTCGATCAGCAGCTAAGTGCTTAAATACTGCACCATCAGGGTTCCTCCAAAAAAATGTGCCAGGCGGTCTAAATTACTGGCTTTATACTAAAATGAATAATCGATTATTCTTTGATTTATTTTTAGCCACCTCTATCTTTCAACTGACTGTCTTGCCCTTAATGCTTTGTTTTAATGCTGATACATTTGCATAAATGGTATAAAATTAGGTTCATAGTGATTGTAATGGCAACAATAAAAAATCTCAATAAACATTTAAAGAAGAAAGAAAAAAACCTGACAAATTAATAATCATTAATACCTCCTTTACCAACAAGGGAGAAACTATAAAAAGTAAGTCTATGAGCTTCTTGAAGCAGAACTGAATACATTTTAAGCAATAGCTAGAATGAGGAAAAGCCAAGGAAACAAAGATACCTTTTTCCAGTATGGAAAAAAGAGGCAATCCTGAAGAAAAACATGGCTTAAAATATGAAACACATGGTATCATTTTAAGCAACTGGTGAAAGGAAGAATAAATCCATTGAACATTCTTCCTTAAGTAGCAGAGGGTTTGTAACTTTGGGACTAGGAGAAGAAAATATAATTATAGCCCCAACTACTTGACTCTAGCTCGTACTATTTACATAGACATAATGATGCAAATGTCAATTACTTATTTTCAACTTTTAGAATCCTCCTATAGGCAAAGTGAAAACCTCACTATATAAAAAATGTGTAACTATTATCAACCTTTACAATGAAAATTAAGGAGAAATATGACAGAGGTTGAAAGGTCAGGGGCGCTGATGGGAAGACCAATGGTATTAAAATTTTCCACTCATAATTTGGGACATAAAATTTATCATTCTATAAGGCAGATATTTCTATCCATATACCATTAATAATGTGGATCGTAGTAGAGACTTAATATACATTTTTGTTGAATAGAAAGAAAAAAGGAAGCTAAGTGGCCCAAGGAATATTCCTAAAGATGACCATGGAACTGATATCTAGGTGTGTTCAATGCTGGATATACTATTAATGGGAAAATTTTAAATCTAACGGATTACAGTAAAAAATTATCCTCATCTATTATGTACTCTCATCAAGGTTCTGTGAATTAATATACCATTGCAATGAGACAGATTCCAAGTTTTGGCCAATGCTCAAATCATACCCTGGAATGTTTCTCTAGCATGACCCATATAACATAGGATTTAGCTTGAAATAGGACATTATTGTGTCTCATCCAGAGTGTTTTGTTACTGGAAACACTAGAGAGATTTCATTTAGCAAATTCACTTTAGGTACTACTCTAGGCATGGATTATATAAGGAATGGTTCAGCAAGATTCTAGTAGTGAATTCAGCAGGAAAAAAAAAAGAAAAAGCTAGTATTATGTATTTATGCAGTGACTTGGATTTTGAGCTATATGTATAAAATGATATTTATGGGAATGTGAACCAGGACTGCTAGATACTGTCATGAAAGTATATGTCAAGCGGTTTGCTGAGCGATGATATGTCACATTTGTCACCTTTTCTTCTGGCTACCAGGAATGGAGCTAGAAAAAGAATTTTGATCTTAAGAATAAACGTACAACTTAAACATACAAATTCACATATGGCAAAGGAAATAAAATCAAATTACTGTAAAAAGAATTCATGACAGTAATAACTGTCACTCATGTTGAGGACAAGTCTGAGTGCCTTCTTTAGTTTTGTGGTATAGGTTTCTGAGTCCTGGATTTGAAAGTTCTGATATCTAACCTGCCTAGCAGCTCTCGTTGATATAGTTAGGTTCAGCTATTATAGACCAAATTAAAATAGAACCAAATTTAGAAAAAAGACCAATTTTAGAGTTTTGTTTCTGAATTTCTATGAAATTACCAACTAAAAATAAAAAGAAGACAATTGAATCATAAAATTATGGAGTTGGAACTAAATATCTGGAAGTCATCATAAGTTGGATAGCAATAATTATAGATGAAAGTGTCAAATATTAAAGGGAAGAGAGCTCTGCATTATACTCTAGAAATTCAAACAATTATCCATTAATACAGAAGGAAAAACTGACAAAGAGAATGGAGATGAGAGAAACAGGAAGAGAATCAAAGAGAAGAAAGTGCTTTTATTCTCTTTTGTACATCAATTATGTTGAATACTAAAGTAAGGTGAGTAGTAAAAAGATCCACTGAGTCCATGCTCTTTTCCTATGGTACATTGTTACTCTCAAGCCACTAGGTGAGGATTACTCAATTTAGTCCTGTGGTTCTTCTAAAAGCACTCTTCACCCAACTCTAAATATTTCATTTGAACCCAATTCCAAATGCCATTGAATTGAATTAACTTTAGCAAATATACATTATTTAACGAATACATTTTTTTGCCTAATTGACAGAAAGATCATAAACATACATTATTTAGCACTTAATGGTCTAAGCCATATCGTAATTGAGAATTGGTGCTTAAATTTCAAAGCCTTCCCACAAATATGCAATGCCTAATTATAGCTTCGCTATAGACAAAGGCCTGTAAAATCAGAGGAAAGCTCTTTGGAATAGACATGTCATACCATC